CATAAAAAAAATTCCACAAGAATTTTTCAACCCAAACGTCTCTCGCACACGCATTTTCATATTTGGAAGCAAATTGGATTATTGACGGTGTAAAATATAACAGTTCAAGTAAATTTCACTTTTTAAACCTAAAATATTAAAAACGTTATTTATGGCCTGCTCGGCCTGCTCCATCTACGAACTCTATAAACTTATCAAACGGTCAAAATTGTACCGAATAAAAACCGACATAAAAGTGCTTGCGAGCAGCTTTTTCCTCAAAATGTGAAGCCTGTTCAACAAATGACATTGTTTCAAAATATGTCGAAACCAGATACTTTAACTAATGGACGTGTATGTACACATTGTCCGATTTTTGTTTGTAAACGATGTAATCGCAAATATTTGGATTAAAGCTATGGAAATACGTATAGCAATTGCATGAGTTGGATATTGTTTCTAACAAATCGTTTGAAACTAAACGAAACGGAATGCCTCTAATGTCCATAATTATCGTTTGAAAATGGGACGTTTTATTAACTTTTAAAATCATTTTAGTAACTATATGCTTTGCTCGCTTGAGCTTGAAAAGTAGGTAAATATCGCCTGGCACACGAAGTTCACGTTTCACAGGGAATGCCACCGTAAATAGTTAGTTGAGGAAGTCCTTATTCTCGCAGGATCTCCAAGGATTTTCAGAGTTGTAAGACTAAGACAAATCATTGAGAGAACTAACTTTTTAACAAGTTATGAGTAATCAAAGTAATCGCGTATACGGCACGGACAACCCCTACGTTGGAGCGAAAACTTCATTATAAGTTCAAACGTTTTCCCAGGTGTAACAACTGATGAAATGTTTTTCATACTAGTCCAAGGCGAGTAGGATACAATAAACATTTTCGGGGCGTGTAAAATTTTTGTACCTACTCAGCAGCTTGCCTCTCTATTTTTTATGCTCCTGTGATATATCGTAACAGTTCTTTTCATCTTTTAGTCTGTTTTTTCAGTGTCCAATATCCAAAACAGATTTGTCGCGACTGCCCTCTAGTCTTTTGCAGTAATCGCGCATATGCAGTCAATACAACAGCCTAGTAGAGACACGATTTTCAGGTATTTTCTGAACTCAAACTCACTGTATGATTCATCGAGGAACCACGATCCGCGCTGTGCTTTCTGTAAGAACATTGTAACTCGAGAGTGTCACCTCCCCGTACTGCTTCAAAGTTAAACGACTTTCATTTTCGCTCCAATCCACAAACCCCAATGTCGAAGGTGTTCCGGTTAATTAATTAAAAAAAAATAGGTAGGGATTAATCCGGAGAAGTTTTCTTTTGGGGATTCGGTCTTTGACGCGAACGTTACTGTGATTTTAGTTTATGTAATTGCTTATCTTGATCGTATCTTGCAGAAAAAAATTTAGGGAACCATATTTGATTTATGTCATTAATGCTAAAAAACATTTCAGTCTGTTTTCTTAAAGATATCAATCTATGGACCAATTGAACCAGCTTGTACTAAGTAGAGTTGTCGTATACGAATTCATTGAAATTGGATTATTCCTATTAAATTGGTTTTGTTATAGTTAAAAAAGGAAAATGATATCCATGTAAATGAGTTCGATTTGATTAGTCATAAAGTAAATTTTTAATAAAAATTTGCCGTATATTGTTATTGTCTTTAATATTGAAGTAAGGGTAGTTCGAAAGAACGTGGCCACAAACTAGATTTATTTTATTTGAAATTTCTAGTAAAAGATATCAGTATAGGATTGTAAAAGACGTGTGAACCGGATCTATTTTATCTCGTCAATATATCCAAAGTTTTGTAATAACTTCGTATTTATTGTTGCTAGCAAAGAAGTAAAAAAACCAAGGGTAAAAAAACAAAACCCCCTAATTTGGAAAAACCCATGGCAAGCTTCTTTGATTTCTTCAAGGTTTTAGTAGTGTTCTCGGTTATTTTATGCTTCCTGCGACATTTGAAATATCTTCAGCATTTTTAACTCTTCGGTTCTGCTCCGTCGCCGTTCTCTGGGATTATCACATACTTTGGATTACTTCAACTCAAGCTTCCTGAAGTACCTCTGCTCCTTTGAGTCTTCCCAAACTCCTTTGTCAACTCGGTTTCTTCGGTTTTGTCATTACATTTACTTTCTTCGAATTGCTCGTATTGTTTAATTTCCTGAACTATATATTGTTGTGCTAAATGAATAAATGAAATAAATAATATTGTTGGTGGAAATTCAAAGAATAAATCCACCGTGATGGAACAGAAACCCATCTTGGAGCTGGTTATTTTGAGTGGAGCACGAACCGTTTCTGTTCAGCGTGACATTGTTTTTGATTTATTTTTACGAGTGATTAAAGAGATCGATAATTTTCCTTGGTCCGTTTACAACGCTACAAAAACGAATATTTGTACAATAAAACGGGCTAAAAATATAGACCATCGAGAAGAAAAAAAACAGCCGAGTGTAGACCAAGGACGTTATCGCGAATGAAGGTATAAAAAAACTTTCGTATTAAATTACTGCACCGCGAGTGCACATGAGGGGATTCGAACTCGCGTTTGGAAACGTAAACCCCGATAACAGTTGCCCACAATTTAAAAAATCAACAAGATTTAGATGGAAATAGTGTGTCTTACTAAACAACTTCTCCTTTTTCTGTACAGACATAAGTGTACTTCTCATTAAAAAGCATTAATACTATGCTACAAACGTTTTAATAATTTCGGTTTTGTTGCGATATAAACATTGAAGGAACTGTTCCACATACAATTCTATGCTAAGGTTAACTGGCCGTTTAATAGGAAAATTTTTTTTCCGAGGGAAGGGTTACCAAACTACAAATCTTCTATTCTATTGTCTATGGAAGAGGGTTATGTTTTTATATAGCTACAACCAGTGCTCCGGTTTGTTGGTTTCCATTAAAATAGACCAATCACTTAGAAAAAATGGCAAGGTAACAAATGTAGGTATTGTCAACGCGCGTGCGATGAATACACCCGAAAAACTCGCTTCGGGTGAAAATCATCCCCGATATTCGCCCCCGGGAAAATTGGCAGTCGAAACATTCGCCCCTAGAAGATTCATATTAGAGCATTTTTTAAGTATTACCATTTTTAGATGACCTTAAAAACTAGGGCGATTTTACCGGGAAGAGGATAATCTGGAGGTGTAATATTTCAGAGGCGAATCTTTCGGGGACGAATTTACCCGTGGGCGCTGTTCTGGGGCTAATATTCCCGGGGCAAGTTTACCGAACAAAATGCTTCCTGTCTTCCTACAATCGAGAGCCTCATTAATGCAGCTACAATACAAATATAGTGCAATAAACAAAAAGTGACTGATACCTTCGTAAATTTATGCAATTTTCTCCTAAAAAAATATGTATAAGTATACCAAAAGCAACGGAAAGCAAACCGGAAAGGGTATGCAGGAAAGACATACCCGGAATTCGCAGAGAGGGACGAAGGGAGATTACGGAACTTAGAAAAAGAGACGTGGATCAAATCTTACGACCGACAAGTAATATCTGGAAATGAAGATAGAATCCAGGTGGTTGCAGCGGAGGACCATGCATGTTGCAATGCTGATCAACTGACAGTAATTAGTTGTTAAGTTTTTCCATATATGAACACCATATACCAATTGGCACTACCAGTGAACGGTCTATTTTTCCAATTGGTACTGTAGCGAACATGCCAGCAATCTAGATAGACATCGAGACGCCAAGAAAGATGAGTCATCGGCGATCAAAGCGAAAGCGGATGTGACGTAATTCTTCCGAGAAAAAGGGCGTGTTTATTGTAGACCATTTCGAACCCTTTGAGAACAATATTGGCGTTTACTATGTAAGCAAATTGTAGCGTCAGTTCTAACTTCGATGCGTTCTTGTTATTTTTTAAGACTGTTGTTATAAATTTATTATTATTAGTTATAATAAACATACCCACGTAATTAAAGGTAGGTACGTTACAGTATCGACTGCAATTGAAACTTACTCAATTGCTAAAGGTTCTTGTTATGTTTTGATCAAGGAAAGCTCCTCAGGCGGTGTCCACACAACAAATAAACCGTCATATTTCCAAATGGTTAATTAAGAACGCGTGTTAACTAACTGCAAATACCTCTTTCCTCCCAAAATAGTATTTGCGTACTAATTAATGTCGGAAGTTTGGTACTCCCTGGAGGGAGCAGGTATAAATTTTCATAAACAGTTTGGAAAGAGAACGCATAGGTATAATTAATTGAACATTTTAATGTAGGTACCTACAGCCGAGTTAGGCTAACATTTAATTGCTATCGTTTAATTTACATCTAGGTACTAGGAAACCCTTTTTAATTAATGACGAGAAATTTCAATTGCGTCAGATTTGTTTTATCCAACTGCATTAGTGTTACGTGGTAAATTTTCCTTGGAGCGTGCAACTACGACCTTAATGAGTAAACGGGGACAAATTTCGATGGGGCGTTGAATGTCATTAACGGCGCGCTAAATATAAATTTTTGAATGTAATCAACGCGGTATTCTGGTTTACTGTTACTTATTTATTTGCGAAAATTAATTTAACGGTGTTTTTCCTAAATGAAAACTTACGACTCGTCCATAAATTACATGTTTTGAAAAATTTCTCGCGAAACTCTTTCTTTGCCATTTTAGTATTCCATTTCAGTCACTTTCGCGAAATTTATTATTTAGCGACGGTAATTTACCGTTGTAATTATAGGCGTGTATGCCATTATTAAGTAGAGGGAATAAAAATCAATTTTCTACTGCGGGCATTCGACACGTTTTTATTTCGCGCCATAAATTCGAATGACTACAAAAGGACAATGACGGCAATCACTTTAGTGATAAATGGAATTACTACCCTGTTAACAGGACTAAAAGTGTATTGCTTTCAGTCAATAATCCAGTAATACTCCAAAGCGTGAATTTTGAGTATAATTCTTGTGGAAGGCAATAAATGATAAAAGCGATATAAAAGTCATATATGAATGTAAGTGAAAGACTCACCTTGGAATTCCTTTCGGGCCGCTGAAACGGAAGTAACAATGTTGGCCACATGACCAAGCACCGTCGCAAACAACATCAGCCCGAACAACAGCTGTAAGATGACAAATAAGTATTCTCCCTTATTTCTTGGTCTCGGAAGGTCTCCAATTGTAGTTAAGGCTAATGTACACCAATAATAACTTTGCAAATACTGTTTCACCACATCCGCGTTCTCCGAATCACTATACACCCAGTTTTTAGACCCGAACCCATTATTTTTATGTATTATATGAAACAAACAGCCGTTCCAATGAAATATAACTAGGAGGTAGTGGATTAAGCTGGTCGATCGAAAAAGATTGGGATAATTCGTGTGACGTTCGGTACGGTCCATAAACGCCCAAAATCTATAAATTTTCACTAAACGAAACGATCTCAAAATTGAATTGAAACCTATGGAAAGGTATAGGAAATCTAGAGGTAGTAGGCACAGACAGTCTATATAAAATGTTGTGGAGTTCATGTAGTGTTGTCGAAGTTTCGTTGAATCCGTTTGCAGAACTCCGTCTTCTAGGTAACCTGTACGAAAGTGAAACATGATGTCCGCTAGGTATAGGAAATCGGAGAAATAATCTAGGCAGAACCACACTAAGATTGTGTCACCTGAAATCAAAAGAAGTTGCTGACGTGCACCCTTACTCTGTGCCATACGTACGATTTATCTCTTGAAACGCAAATCGATAAATTATAACCCAAAAATTGTAGAGGAACGCTAAGGATACTACCATGGACCAGTAGTAGCACAGCCGGCCAGCAGGATCAAAGACGAACGTCCACTTGGGGGTCGCTCTGGAACGGGGATGGTACGAATCAGCTCTTCGAAATCCGAATCTACTGTTAAAAAAACTCAGTTACATTTAAACTACGGGAAACAACAAAAATTTTAAAAGTGTTCAACACCTTGATCTTATAGTATCCCCAAAGCAGTCTAAAAATAAATCACGTTAAGGTTTTGCTACATCTCTGGATTATTTCACTTTTTTCTCTCGTTATTCTAATGCACTCCTCGATGGCGGAAACGTTAAAAGCATCATATTAATAAAAATGGCCGAGACTGGAGCTTTAATTTATTAACAAAAAAAAACACAGCGTGAACAATACATTACGGTTTTCCCTCCTTTTCCTTGTTAGCGTTCAATGGAAATTTAGAAGCGCGCGAATTTCAATACTTTATTCTTGCATTTGACGCGTTCCGCTTTACCTCAATATTTATAAACTTCAAAGACGATTAATCATTCGAATTTAAAAGTTGCAGAAAATGAACACGATTTTTACACAAAACGATCTTTTTCTGTAACTTTTTTTTGCGCATACTCTTTTTCCTAACGTCATCTTTAGTTTTTATGTTTGCATCTTTAAATTTCTTAATTCCATCTTTAGTTTTTGTTACTTTCCGTCCATTAGAGTCTGTTAAAAACAAAGATAAATTACGGTAATAACTCTTATAGAGACGCTTATTAATTTGTGATTCAAACAAAAAGAAGGGTTTCCGTGAGTTAGTCATATTCGCAAACATATTTCTTTGTTCGTTCAATAGTAGGTACTGTGCTGTTCACAAATAGCCTAATTACTTAATGAATGCCGATATGAAACTCTAACCCACTCTTAAAATGGTCACTGGTCAGTATAGGAAACACAAAAATAATTAAAATTAAACAAAACCGCTTCAGGGGGAAGTTTGAGATGGCAACCCCCTCATGTCCAATACCTTTTAAACCCGGTTAGTTAATGAGGTTAATTCATCTGAGCTCTTAGAGAAATTCTCTGAAATAGTGCATTTAGGTACCTTCCTCGACCAGATATTCGCAATTAAGTTTTTGCATCGCCACTAGATGTGTCTCGTCTAGACGGTCTAGACACTCCTCCGACACTCCGTTCTGCGGATATTTGCACTTAAAGTTTTGACATCACCAATATGTGTCTCGTCCTGACGTTCCACTTACTCTTTACAAGTACCCGACACTTCGTTTTCAAGATATACGCTTCGCCTTCACCAAAACATATGTCTGGTCCAGACGATTCATTTTCCCTTTGTGAATAGTTTCCTTCGCCACACCGTTTTCGAGATATGGGCTTTTAAAGTTCTAACATCACCAATGGAGATGTCCCAATCGCCTTTTGAGTACCCTCCTCCGACAACCTGTTTAATAATAATAATAATAATAATAATAATATTTATTGTTGTTCAACAGACTCATAATCCATATATGAACAATCGCAAAAAAGATAAATGAATCGTTAAGCGCATACTGCATTATTAAAACTATAGTAGGAACTAATATTTAAAAAATAGAAAACATAAAAATCAATATAAATATTGCAGTAAGTAATTGTAACTAGTGGAATAAATAAATACCTTTGACAATTAAGTTCTAAACTAAAAATAGAATATTGATAAAAAGAGAACTAACAAAAAAAATAAATAAAGTAAAGAAAATGAAGCAAAAAAAAGGATGATGACACGCTTTTAAGATAGAAAGCACAAACCAAAATTACAATTTTCAGTTAACCATCAACAAAGCTTAAAACATTGCGTAATGAATGTCACAGTTCTGGCAAATCTTATTATAATTACTGGACATTATTAAGGAGGGAGTTCTGCGAAGGAGATTGGATTTGGGAGTAGGATATGTGAAGGTTTTTAAGTGCCTAGTAGAATGCGTTGGAATGGTAAAGGATAGCTTGTGAAGTAAGTAGGGACAATCTAAATGACTGCTGGTTAGTTTGTAGAGGAACTTAATGCTATTCGCGACTGTTCCTGAGATATAAATAATTATATCCCATCGCGATTAGGGGGTCGGGGAGGAGGACTATGGTTGGTAGAAATTAACTCTTTGCGTTGAGTTGATGAATAATAAAACCAATTACACCCTCTTCCTCCCAAACCGGTGGTTGATAGAAAACAGTTCCTTTTGTTGAGACCTTTAATTAGAATACCATGATGATGAAATTAATTTCTACAATACCCACTCGCCCCAGCTCCCATCGGTCACCCCCTGATCTCGAAAAGGAGTCCCGCAGGAAATAATTTATACAATCCAATTAATTTCAATGAGACCTTTCAATAGAATACTCCACCAATTGGTCGTCTCATGTAAAAGTAATGCACGTTTTACTTTCAAAAACAGCATCTCAGGAAGTAATTCATGGGGGAGCCCCCCTTTAAGACAGCTAAACTTACTGCAAAAAAATCCAGAACTCATTGAGGATTCCCCTAAAAGTAGTTTAACGCAGTAGAAGTGGGTTCGAATGGACGGATGGACAAAACCCAAACAATAGCACATTTTTTTAGTTCTGTTCGTAACATTATTCTATTCAGAATACAAAGTCCTACAGATACTGTAGCCACAAGGATTTGAGCCGCCTAACTTTTTGGTAATTCTAAAGTTTTCAATATCCTGGGTGCGTATTTTTTTAATTAGTAGGGGAGCCCAATAAGGCATTTTGGCATTTACTCGAGCGCGTCAGATTAAATTAAGGTGGGTTGACTACGTGTTGAAAAGTGTGCATTTCAATAATCTGACGACTTGAGCCTAACGTGAGGGAGTGGAAAGGCCACAAACTTGAAAAAAAACGTTACCTTGATATTCTCGAGCGCGTTAGAATTTTTTTTATTTCGAAGGAAATTACTCAAGAATAACAGACAATATAATCTGCCGATTTCCACACGCCAAAGCGGAACAAATCGTCAAAAAAATGCATTCAGTCGTTTAAGCATATCAATTGACGGATCGTATCATGCATTTTACGTACTATGCTCTAAATATCTGACGCACTCGAATAAATCCCGCCTTCTACCCTTCCGTACAGCCTCCCCCATCATGCAAACCGTTAGATTGACTATCAATATCTGACGTGCTCGGGTAGTTTAATGTAACTATTTTTATCACATTTTCTAAGAATTAAGGAAAATGTGCTATTGTTTGCGTTGTCTGTCCGTTCGTCCGTCCGTCCGTGCGGTTTTGAACTACTTTTTGGGGAATTGTCCCAGAGGCCTGGAAATTTTTGCAATGGTATTCTAATGAAAGGTCTCATCGAAACGAATTGGTTTCCACAAACTATAACGGTCTTCCGCGATTCCTTTATTAAAAGCCTCAACGAAAGGAACTGTTTTCTACCACCATTCTCCCTGACTCCTTATCACCAAATAGCGAGTTGGGGGCGGAACTCGTTTCATCCTTCATGGTACTTTAATGAAAGGTTTCAACGAAAGGATTTAATTTATACCAACCATAATCCTCCACCTCGACTCCTTACCGTGGTCGGTTATAATTCCTTATATCTCACAAGCAGATTGCCGAAGGAGGGTACTCACAAAGGGCGATTGGGAAGTCTGGAGAGCTGATTCTATTTCTATTTCAAATATCTCGAAAACGGTTTGTCGGAGGAGAGTAGGTACTCTCAAAGGAAAAATGAATCATCTGAACCAGACATATGTGTCGAGTGTCGGGAGAGGGCATTAATAAAGAGAAAGTGGAACGTCTGGGCGAGACAGATCTACTGGTGATGTCAAAACTTTTAATGCAAATGTTTGCAAGTCTGAGGGTACCCTCAAAGAGCGAAAATATCGCCTTGCAGACGGGAACCCAGGAAGTCACTGTCTCAGTAAACAGAGCCGCCAGAATTGATCGTAATCGCGCCATTTTAGGGACCTAAAAGTCAATAAAATAGTGTTATCAACCGTCGGACTGCCGCCAGTAATGTTCCCAAGGCATTAGTCGGTGATGACGCATACAGAAACTAGTAACCCATACTCATGACTTTTCAAAAAAACTGAAACCTGTAAAAATTTTATAGAAGCTAACCCTCTCCCTAATACCCAGTATCTAATACCGCCAACTCTAACGAAATTTAAAAAATCAACCCCATTACAGGGCTCCCGTTACAAAGGTTGAACACTTCTAAAAGCAACCAATTACAAACGAAACGAACAGTTATAATCACCTTTCGGTACCGCTACAGCTACTCGTTGAATTTAAATGATTGGAAGATGATGGATTAATACCGGCAGCAGATCCGGAAGTTCTCCAGCGTCCCAAGAACGGCGCCTCCGCGTAGCTTGCTAACGCAACACTCGAAGGTAACTTTAGCTTACTACGCAGATCTTTTCGTCTTGCCTTTCTCGATAAGTCTAATTCACTGGCTGCCGAACTAACATTCGCGGCCGCATTCGCGCAAGCAATTGATATACTATCGTGTGAAAAATAATGCTCATTAAAATTTCGGGGTTTTTGGGGCTTGGACATTCCTAACTTGCAACTCACTAAATCTGAAAGTAAAGCGATACGTTGAAAGAAAACGTTTAAAACATTTATTACCTAAAAGGCTTTGTTTGGAGACCGACTTTAACGCTCTAGGGACACTTTCGTTGCTGGATCTCGGTCCAACGCTGGCTTGTACTCCCGATTGTGCCGGTGAAGTTATTACGTCCAATCTAGTGCCGCTGCTACAAAGTCTTTCGCCCACCATTCGGCCACCAGTCGACGTAATAATACCTGAAACAAAAATAAACCTTTAACGATATAATTCACGTTGGGAAAACAATTGGAAAGTTTAGAAAAGTTCCAGAAATATTCATAAAGCAATCTAAAACTTGTCTTTCAGCAAACTTTATAACCCCCTAGAAACTATCCGAAAGATAAAGAAGTAAGTACTTTATTTCCACTTTTTTCAGTGGCGCACAGAGCCAATTACGTTTTAATGCTACTAAAATATTTGAACCCAAAACAAATCCGTCACTCACAGTTTTCTACGGTTTGTATATAATTCATTGAAATGCCGAGTTCAATGTGGAAGAACCGGCGACAAAAAAACGGGGTGGAAATTTTAAGCATTTCGTCTCTACTAAACAACGGAAGCGGAATACAAAATCAGAAAGTCGTCTAAATACCTTCAAATGTCTCAGACTAACACCGATCGCATTGTGCATGCGGGTCACATGTTTCCAATAAGAAACTTGAAAGATCAGCAAGCGTATAAATACCTACAGACTATAGGGTTGAATCGTACTCCTCCTACGCAACTGAATTATTTATAATCTCGGCATATGGTTAGCAATTTGAGCCGAATCTAATTGTTCTAATAAGGGCGTGAAGGCAAGTTGGGTGGTTTAGACGATACGCTCGTTGAATTTAAAGTTTGCTGAAAATCGTTTAAAACGGCGCCGACATTTTTTTGGTTAAAATTTGAATATTTTATTTAGTTTGGCTGGCTCGTGTTGATTTTAGAGACCGCACTATAACTGTATGAACGCAAGGGAATGCGGAAATTAGCATAAATTTGTGTTTCCTATTGGGGTTCATTTCACATTCTGCCCTCAAATATAACGAAGATGTTGAAAATCATCACGCTCGCTATGGTCTAAGTCAGTCTATTGCGAAAGCTAATTTTTTGCCACAAATTGCCTTGTAATGTACTGCATGTAGGTACCCGGAAACACTACGTTATTAAAACCGATGGATGATTTTGTAGAAAGAGCTAGAATAAAGGAAATGTACCTACAAGACGGCCTAAATTTATTGATCAAGTATAGAAGAAAATAAGAAACGTTACTTCAGTAAAGGTCTAATTGAAATTAGAAGATACCATCAAGTTGTAATTTAATCCGAAACGGATTTGCGCCATGGTTTAACCTTTGACCTTAAATTAAAAGTTTCATGTGTATCTAACAATGAAATTTAAAGAATACGCGCCCACACAATTTTGTTATGAAGGTAATGAGCGTTGCCGACTTTCCGATGAAATTGATGATCAAATATCCAAATTTTTCGAAATTCTATCTGAATTGTTTGGCAAGCATTACTTGCAGCATTTTTTTATGCAAAAATCTTCCTGCATTAATCAGAGGGCCCATAAACTGGATAATAAGGACGAAATTCAGCGGTGGTGGAAAATTTTTCCTAAATTTATGAGTTGTCTTAAAATATAAATTGTGTGTGTATGATAAAGAGCATTTTTTTAACCGAAATAGCTTAGTAAATGGATGATTTATAAGGGTAGTACCATGCTATATTATTGTAGATGATTAACATAGTGGAGAGGGGGTGTTTACACATATACGAAAGTAATCTAATTCTGGAAAAGGAAAAGTAACGTTGAGAAGCTGTCAGCGTATGTTTAGTTTAGTGCGCCTTACATCGCAATATACGTTTTTTACGTTTTGCAAACAAGTTTTGTAAGTTTCTCTTTCTTTCAGGGATTTTGTTTTAATTTATTTTTATATGTTTCTGATTAAATTTTTGTCATTGTCAATCAATTAATTGCGTGTTTATTCGAATCCGTTGTGCCATCCGGATAAAGTTTTCATGTTAGATTTTCTCTATTCGTTCTACTCAAAAGTTGTTTAATAAATTCTTTGGAATTTTCGGAACATGACCGAGACCACCGAATTGCTCAAATTGAGAAATGTTAAGCCCATGCTAGGATTCCTCTTATAGCAGTGATATAGTCAATTATTTATTTTGGAATTGGATATTATTCGCCTGCGTCCAGTTTTGATTTCCGATTTAAAAAGGAGATAAAATATCAAACTTCCGCAAGGTAAGGGGTTAAACTACAGAGGTAAAATTAATGTTGATAGAAAAATTTCTATCAGTGCCGTAGAGGACCAATGTTATTTAGTACGAACGAAGGTCTTCAACCCTTGTAAAGTAATTAAGCGTTTCAAGGTCTTCCAGAAAAGATTATCATCAGAAATATCCTCCACAAACATGTTATTCGTTCATGACATTCATTATTCAGGTATTCTTCTAGTTCGCCAGAAGATTTTCACATCTACAAAAAAACTGATACTAAAGATTTAGAGATTTTTCACACATTCTCTTAAAGATGTTTACAGGTCCCTTTAAAATGTTTGGAGACAAAATCTACCGCAAATTCCAAAAAGCCTTACTGGAATTTCGGTTTCAGTTTCTCCCCAAACATATTGGTCCCCTCTAGGGAATGCAATTCCGGGATCGCGGGATTCCGTAATACCGGGATCCCACAGCCTTTTTGCGGGATTAATCCCGTACGTAAATGGAGCGGGATCCCACGGGATTTGCGGGATTGCAGACTTTATCAACCAAGCTTACCACCATACATTAGCAACTCTGCGAATTTGATTATTGCGCACATTTTTGTTGTTACAGCTCATGCAATAATTACGCGCAAACCTGTATCTGTTATTAACTTTGTTAAACAGCGAGTGAGTGCGCAAATCGGACTTATTTTACCACTGTTTTAAAACGCAGGAACCGTTATTCTTGTAGACAATATGTCGGACTCATCGATTGTGTATAAAAGATGTATGGACATATTGCAGCGAATATTCTAGAAATCCAGATAGACATGGAGGGGCCATAAAAGACTACTCACCGGCGACAAGAAAAGACGACGGATGTGATGCATTCTTTCCGCGAAATACAATGTGTTTTCTTGAGAATATTCTGTTAACTGCACACTGCTTATTTCCGAATGTTTTTAAAATTTTATTAGGATCCCGCAAATACCGGGACCCCGCGCGATTACTATCTAATGATCCCGCAAATACCGGGATCGAAATTTTGCTACGGGATTGCATTCCCTAGTCCCCTCTTTTTTATTATATGAGAATATGACCCGGTAATAAATAGCATACAATATATACAAGCTTTTTACTACCCGCACGTTAGTAAGGCTTTTGGCCAGAATTGGTTTTGGTTTTGGTTTTAGCATTCAGGCAACTAGAACTAACCGACCAACGCGAGGACCCCCTCGCGACTTACTCTGCATCCAGGAGACTGCAACATTTACAGTTCGAAGGTTCCGTTCCCACGCGTATAATTAATAATATCTAAATCGAATACAAATCAATTATTGATAAAATAGTTTAAGTTATTATAGTTAAATCAAGTGTACATACTCAGTTCAGAATAAAATAGTTCTATTCTTGTGGTATATACTGTCAACGTGAGACGTTTTCTATATTATGGCGGATCTCTGCATTTTTTTTGCTAATGCACAAAAATAGGATTGTGTTGTCCTAAGAATCAAAAATATTAGATAAAAGGAAGGCACGTTTACACTGAGACCCCATGCAATCATACAGGGGGTAATATGTAAGTATACAAAAAAATTCTTCCCTGTAACTTTTATGCGATCATTGTTGAATTGGGGGATTTTATTTTGGACGTTTAATTTGCTAAGGGTTTTGAGTCAAGCTTAATCAATACTTTTGAATATCGGGGAGGATTTTTGATTTTGTGGGGATACGTTATTCACTTTTGGAGATAATTATATTTGATACTGACTAGAATAAACTAATATTTCTTTTTTTTTATTTAATTTCACTGTACTGTTTCTTTCCAGTCTTATACAGGGAAAGTAAAGTATTTAAAGAAGCTGGGTGGCGCTCAACCCTATGGTAAGTGTAACGAGGTGTCGAAGATTGTATACCCTAAACGAATCGACCGATGTGGAAGATCTCAAGCCTTCAATTTTTCAACGTTATAAAAGTATCTGGTGGTGTTTTCAGGTTGCAGTGTATGTGCCTCTACATTGCCTCTTCGATTTGAGATCTAATAGAGAATTGGAGAATATGAAGATGAAAATGGCGCGCACCTAAATAAGGGTGTGAAAGAAATTCTAAACGAAATAAGAAATAATAGTACTACACTCGCAACTATTTGATTTTAACGAAATGCTTAGTGAGGGAAACTAACATGAAACGTTAGGGGAGAGTGGGTTAAGATGGCGCAGTTGGTAAGATGACGCACCTCATAACTGCCTCATTTAATAGTTTAAATTTCGAATTGCGCGGGAAATTTCATTGCTTACGTAGCCAGGACTGTCAATGCAAAGTTTCAACCGAATCCTACTACCGCTTAGTGTTAAACATGACGCCAACGTGATAGTGTGTTGATTGTTATTGTAGTGTTCAAGAAGTTTGTTTCCAAAAAGTAGCTTTGTTAACATTGTCAGAACTAGGGGATGGTATGTACTTGAATTGCATGTTATGTTTGTTAATTTAAGTAGTTGCGGCACTCATAAACATTAGAAGAATTTGCTAAATAATTTTTTTTTGTCATGGCTACGCATTGGCAAAGATGACGCGTTTCATATTGGTAAAGATGACGCACAGTGGACCGTTGCGTTATCTTTGCCAGCAATTTTTTTTACCGAACTTACAACAATTGCTTTCGTCCTAGATGGGAAAGTACCAGAGAAAAACGGAAAGGAGGAACTTCAGCCAAGCTTCCCTTGACTCTGCGCTTGATGCTATAGAGAAAGGTCGTAAAATCCGGGCAGTTGCTCGAGATTTTGGAATACATGAGGCAACTTTGCGACGTCATTTGGGAATTAAAAGAAAAATTAAGGACAGGAAATCTGAGACACTAGGGCGCGCTCCAATTTTCTCTAAAGAACAAGAACGGGAAATTGCCGAACAAGTAAAATCTCTCGCAAGGTTATTCTTTGGAATAACGCCCACTGAGTTACGACAGGTGGCTTACAAATATGCCGAAATAAATCATATCAA